AGATAGATGTATAGCAAGTAAGCACACAGAAAGATGCTCACCCTCATTAATCATTAAGGAAATGAAAATTAAAACCATAATCTGATACCCCAGTACACCTATTGGAATGGCTAAAAACCAACCAAATGAAACAAAATCCTGACAGGACCAACTACTAGTGAGGATAATGTGGAGAAAATCTAATACATTGTTGGTGAGAATACAAAATGGTAGAACCATTCTGGCACTCTCAGTTTCTTACAGAGTTAAACATACCATATGACCCTTCAATCCCAGTTGAGACATTTATCCAAGAAAACCTACATTCACGCAAACAGTTGTACATGAATGTTTATAGTAGTTTTATTTGTAATTGCCCCAAACTGGAAAGTACCCAAATGTTTTTCATCTGGGAATGGATAAACATATTGTGGTACATTCATAGGTGGAATACTAGTCAACAATTAAAAGCAACAGACTATTGATAGAACAATATATGGATCAATCTAAAAGACATTGTGCTAAGTAAAAGATGCCAGACTCAAAAGGCTATGTATACTTCTTCCCATTTATAGGACTTTCCAGAAAAGGCAAAATTATAGGAATAATAAATAGATGAATAGTTTCTGGAGTTTAAGGGTACGAAGAGGGTTTGACTAGAAATGGATGGTGCAAAGGAATTTGTGTGTGTGGGTGGGGGGAGGGTGGAATCAATGGAATTGTTCTGTGTGTAATTGTGGCAGTGGTTATACACTTTATGCATTTGTCGAAACTTAAGGAACTATACATCAGAAAGAATCTGTTTTACTAAGTGATTTTTAAATAAATTAAAATTAAATATGTGGTTCAGGAAAAAATAAGCTAAGAGAGTATCAGGTCTTTCTCCTCGCTCTCCCTCTCCCCCCAACAAACCTTACTGGAACTCTGGACAAATGGAAAGATACACACCATGTTCTTAGATGGCTTCCTAGTTACAGTTTTCTCCAAATTAATGTCTGTATATTTGCTATAAGTCCAATTATATTCCAAGTGATTCTTTTGTTTTAATTGGAAAAATGATCTTAATGTTTATATAGAACATAAAGAGATGAGAAAGCCAAGAAAATAATGAATACGGAAGTGATTTGTCTTATCAGTCATTATACATACTGAAAGCCACTATCATAGGAATGGACAGATTAGTGAAAAGAAGCAGAATCCAGTATAATTAGAGACAATATACAACAAACATGTTCCTCAAGTCAGTGAGAAAAGAGTAGTTTAAGTGGTGCTAGTACAACCAATTAACCATCGAGATGAAAAGACTGCATGTACAGGAAACTCCAGATAGATGAGAAAGTTAAATATAAAAAGTCTAAGGAGACTAAGCTTCAGATAGTCACATAAAAGATATTCAGTAAAGTAAGAGATACTGCTGAGTGACTATGAGGTGTACCATATAGTTAGTCATCATCTGAAGAAAAGACTCACATGCCAATCTTCTTCCTTCCAGATATAATTGCAGCTACTCATTTGCGTATCTGTCTCATCCTATATCTATGCATTTAAATATGTAATAGAAAATAAAGCATTGTTGAGGATGGGTTTTTTTATGTACAAATTATCATCTTGTAATTTTTTCCGAGTGCTTTTTATTTCTCAGCAGAATGTCTTAGATATCTATCCACATTAGTATACATAGATCTTCCTCATTCTTTTAACTTGTTATTTGGCTATAACCCACATTTAGCCCATTTGATCCTGGGCAGGTTACCTAACCATCTTAACCTCAGTTTCTTCATTTGCAAAATGAAGATGACAGTAATGCCTATCTTAAAGGATTGTTGTAGGACTAAATGTATCAATATATTAAAAAATTTAGAGCAGTACCTGGCATATAATAAACTTTATTATTGACATTTTAGTTGTTTCTAATTTTTCACAATTACAATCCATGCTGCACTGAACATCCCTTTACATATTTCCATATACACAACAAGGAATAATGTGAATAAAGTAACCAAAAGTGAAATTGCCACAGCCCTGATGTGCTTCTTTATTAGGGTTATCATGAAGTCTTAAAAAAAAAAAACCTCTTTTTAAAAGTTTTCCCTTTTTTTCCTCTTTTAAAAAATACGTATTTATTTTAGTAATCTCTACACCCAACATGGGCCCCAAACTCATGACCCCAAGATCAAGTGTCTCATGCTCTTTTGATTGAGCTGGCCAGGAGCCCCTTAAAGTTTTTCTTTATATTCCAGTTACTTAACATACAGTATAATATTATTGGTATGCAGTATAGTGATTCAGCACTTCCATATAACACCAGGTGCTCATCATAACCAGTGCCCCCTTAACCCCCATCACCTATTTAACCCATCCCCCACCCACCTCCCCTCTGATAAACTATCAGTTTGTTCTCTATAGTTAAGAGTCTGTTTCTTGGTTTGCCTCTCTCTCTTTTTTCCCTTTGCTCATTTGTTTGTTTCTTAAATTCCATATATGAGCGAAATCGTGTTATTTGTTTTCTCTGACTTATTTCTCTTAGCATAATACTCTCTAGCTCCATGTATGTTGTGGCAAATGGCAAGATTTCATTCTTTTTATGGCTGAATAATATTCCATTGTGTGTGTATACACACACACACACACACACACACACACACTACATCTTCCTTACCCATTCATCAGTTGATGGACACTGGGGCTGTTTCCATAATTTGGCTACTGTACATACTGTGCTATAAACATGAGGGTGCATGTATTCCTTTTATTTAGTATTTTTGGATGCTTTAGGTAAATACCTAGTAGTGTAATTGCTGGATCATAGGGGAGTCCTAGTTTTAACTTTCTGAGGAATCTCCGTACTGTTTTCCAGAGTTGCTTCACCAGTTTGTATTTGCATCAACAGTACAAGAGGGTTCCCCTTTCTCTACATCCTCATCAATGTCTGTTGTTTTCTGTGCTGTTGATTTTAGCCATTCTGACAGGTGTGATACCTCATTGTAATTTGGATTTGTATTTCCCTGATGATCTGTGATGTTGAACATCTGTGTCTCTTGGCCATCTCTATGTCTTCTTTGGATAAATGTCTACTTATGTCTTCTGCCCAGTTTTTAACTGGATTACTTGTTTTTTTGGGTGTTGAGTTTTATAAGCTCTTTATGTGGTTTATCACATATGTCATTTGCAAATATCTTCTCCCATTCTGTAGGTTGCATTTTAGTTTTGTTGATTGTTTCCTTTGCTGTGGAGATTTTTATTTTGATGAAATCCCAATAGCTTATTTTTTTTCTAAAAAAATAAAACAACCTCTTTAATGGAAGTTTTTTGTGTCTATCAAGTTACCATTTCTTCTACTCTCTTGAGTTTCATTAAAGTATATTCTATCAATGCTTTTATTATTTATCTTTAAAAAATTTAACCCTTCTCATATTTCTGATACTACTGTGGATTTGCTTATGTATTTCTTTTGTCATTTTGGTGAGATTTAGGAAGAGAAGGGAATTAATGTAATATGTTGTCAGTCATCTTGAAGTGAAAATTATACCTAAATTTTTAACTAGGCTACTTGATTATTTCTCTGTCAAAATCAAAACTTAAAATAGTTCTCTCACTCCTTCCTTTCCTACTCTCACTTTCAGAAGACAAAAATTTTTATTCTTCTTTTTCTGTTTTTTAAAAATTCAATTTAATTTTTATAGATTCAAATTTTTATTTAAATTCTAGTTATGTAACATACAGTGTAATATTAGTTTCAGGTATAGAATTTAGTGATTCATCACTTACATATAACACCTGGTGATCATCTGGAGTCTTAATTGCAGAATTTCTTTTTGCATTACATATCTTCTATTGAAATTATTGTTTAGAAAATTAATTCAATTTTAATAACCACATTAACCATGATTACTTAGCCTTGACTAAGCATTATTGGAAATTTCATGCTGTTTATTGTATGTCATACTCTCCTTTTTCTAATGATGTTATTTGGCTAGATTTTTATTGAGATTCTTTGAGTAATAGTTTCAGAAAGGGTATATGGTATGGTAAACTTTGGGTCCTTGTTTTCATGAAGATGTGTTTCTTTTTCCCTTATAAATTTGGTTGGTAGCTTGTCTGGGTTCAGAGTTTTAGGGTTACAGTCCTCCCTCAGAATTCTGTAAACATTGCTCCTTTGACTTCTAGAATTTAATGTAGCAGATTAGAGGTCCAGTTCCTGTTTGAAGGTATTTTACTGGATGGTAATCTTGTATTTCTGTCTGGAAATATGTTGGCAATTCAGATGTTTAACCAGAATAAATGCCTAATGTCTAACATTTTGATTATTCCTGTCCTGACATTGTAGATCCTATAGATGTGGAAATTTTGGATTTAGGGAAACTTCTGTTTGTTTTGATTATTACTTTTCTTCATTTTGATACATTGTTTTTCTTTGCCAGCAAAGGAAATTTTATTTATTTTTCCAGTTTTATTGAGATATAATTGACATATAACACTGTATAAGTTTAAGGTGTACAGCATAATGATTTGATATATGTATATATTATGAAATGATTATCACAGAAAGTTCAGTTATCATATGAGGTATTGATTTTTAAGGTATTGATTTATTTTGCAGGTGGATTTATAACATAGTTATGAACTATGACAGCTGCTGCTTGAATGGGAGGAGTCAAAGTATCCATCTAATAAAATATATCAGTGATTATATAGGTCCTGAGGAAAAAAAGTTGACAGGTGAAGATAAATACATACATAAATGAAAACAACAAAATAAGGCACGTTTGAGCGATGTTACACATGTGCATGAGAATTTTTTTTTTTTTAAAGATTTTATTTACTTATTTGACAGAGAGATCACAAGTAGGCAGAGTGGCAGGCAGAGAGAGAGAGGAGGAAGCAGGCTCCCCAGCAAGCAGAGAGCCCGATGTGGGGCCGGATCCCAGGACCCCAGGATCATGACCTGAGCCGAAGGCGGAGGCTTTAACCCCCTGAGCCACCCAGGCGCCCCTAATTTGGAAATTCTTATTCCATTTCAGGATCGGAAATTAACCAAAGCTGAGCAGCAAAGGTTCAAGGAAGAAGCAGAAATGTTAAAGGGTCTCCAACATCCCAATATAGTTCGATTTTATGATTCCTGGGAATCTATATTAAAAGGAAAGAAATGTATTGTATTGGTGACTGAACTTATGACATCAGGAACTTTAAAGACGTAAGTTGACTTTGACAGTGCCAATGAAGTTTTATTTGGAAATAATTTTCAAGAGTCATAAAAGTTGTTTATAAAATAACTACTTGATTAAAGAATAGGTAGCATCTGAATCTAGTGACTGCTTCAGGGCAGGTTGAAAAATTTAGGATGTTAATGAAGTTCATTAGAAAATGCAGTATTGAAAACAAAAAAGAAAATACAGTATTGAGAAATGAATATTTGTGGGATCACATAAAATTTTAGAATTAGAAGTAATGTCATTTTATAAAAATAATGAAATTTCAAGGGTATGGCCACATTCACATATCTAGTGAGCAGGACTGTCTAATTATAGTTTATTTACTTTTATTTCTGACTACAGTTTTTCATTTGATGGTGTAATCAGTTATTTATAACTATTAAATGTGAAATATACTTTTTCTGTTTCCTAGCATCTTTGCAGTAAAATTTTACATAGTTAAACCCTATGGTGACCTTATATAAGCAGTTATTAGAAAGTAGAGAAGAACTTTCTTTTTAAAATTGTGCTACCTTTCCACAAAAGGATATTCTGATTAAAATGACTCTTGTTTTGAATTAAAAATACTAAAAAATGCTAAACTTGGCAGGATATCTTCTCTAAGAATGAAGCCTTAGATTTAAAATTGTTTTTCTATAACAGAGAATAGAAAACAGTTCAGTGATGACAAGCATAGTACTTAAAATAGCAGCCAACTTACATGATTTACCCTAATAGTGCTCATATAATAAGCTAGGTATGTGTGTTTACATGTGGTCTTTTGTTTCTTTGTGTAGGTACTTAAAACGATTTAAAGTCATGAAACCAAAGGTCTTAAGGAGCTGGTGCAGGCAAATTTTAAAGGGGTTGCAGTTCTTGCACACTAGGACTCCTCCCATTATTCACCGGGATCTGAAGTGTGACAATATTTTCATCACGGGACCCACTGGATCTGTGAAGATTGGTGATCTAGGCCTGGCCACCTTAATGCGAACATCATTTGCTAAGAGTGTCATAGGTGATTAAACTTTTATATTTTATTGGTTGGATAAAGAGAGATTTTGCTAATTGTCTATATCTAGAATAGGGATCAGCAAACTGTGGCCCATGAGCCAAATCTGGCCCCATTGCCTATTTTTGTAAATAACATTTTATGAGAACACAGCTGTACCCACTCATTTATGTATTGTCTGTGGGTGCTTTTGCACTACAGTCGCAGAGTTGAGTAGTTGTGACAGAGACTGTTGTCTCTGAAATATTTACTCTCTGCTTCTTTACAGAGAAGTTTGCTGACTCCTGGACTAGAATGTGAATTTGCTTTGAAATATCTATTACATGTTGACTTATTTCAGAGACATCCTAGTGTATTTCTTTTTTGGGATATGTTAAAGATCATTAAAAGGTTCTGAAGACTTAAGAAAGAGGATTTACTAATTTAGTTCAGAAAAATTTATAAAGGAAGGATAGAAATAAAAACAGATTTTAAAAATTAACAAAAAAAGAAAACAGATTTTAGTGATCATTACCTAATCTTGAGTGTTACAAATTGTACTCCATGAGTATAGAAAGTTGAGGAAATTCCTGAAGTACTTTATATAGGTATAGCAAGTATTCTGCAAATATTTATAAATTTGGTTTAGGGAGCAGAAATTAACTCTGGTAATCCTTATGGCAAAGGGAATGTGATATTGGTGGATACATTTTTCTTTTTAATAAAGATGTGGATGTGGTGTTATTTTGTAGGGACTCCTGAGTTTATGGCCCCAGAGATGTATGAAGAGCACTACGATGAATCTGTAGATGTCTATGCTTTTGGAATGTGTATGCTGGAAATGGCTACTTCAGAGTACCCTTATTCTGAGTGCCAGAATGCAGCTCAAATATACCGTAAAGTAACTAGTGTAGGTATAACTTTATTCTTTTTATTTCCTAGATTGTCACATTTCATGTTGAAGTTGGTAAAGTTATTTTAAAACTAATTTTGGTTTAGTGCTATATAACAGTGCTAAATTTAAAATAGTTTTAATGTAACAAGCTTTAGATTTATGTTATATACCTATACTTTATTGGGGTCACATAAAATGCTCTGTATTAGTATCGTTGGGTAAATTTACAGACATATCATCTATAACCACTTGTTTGTAAATCATTTTTACATTTATTAGGTGGATATTATTTTTTCAAAGCTGAATAATGAAGATTGACTAAACGGTTTTGAAGGTTTCTGGTTCTAAAAGCCTGATTATAAAAGGGCGTTTAAAATATTATTCAATAGCTATAGTATTTGATTCCCTGTTAGGGGTATTTTGTTGCATTACAAATTGCAAGGAATGTAAAGATGAATAAGAAGTGTTTGCTACCCACAAAGAGCTTGCATTTTTAGTATGGATAAATTCACAAACAGGTATAAACATCAGAGGATAGGAGTAGAGTAAGGGATATAAGAGAGGTAGAAGTAAAGTCTTAGGATAGTTCTAAATAGGTCTGTTTCATAATCCAGTTGGGTGGCTCTAGAAGAGGCCAAGAAAGAGACTGTCAAAGTGTTTAAAGTAACTGATATTAATAGGTACCCTTTTAAAATGCGTGCTTATACTGCATACTTTTATATTTAAATCCTTACAAGATGGCACTATCTTCAGTTTATGAATGATGAGACTGAGAACCAGAGGTTGTGACTTGCCCAAGTTCACACACTACTAATAATGGTGGATTTTGACCCTAAATCGGTCTGACTCTAGAGATAATTGTATAGGGAGACTAGAAATAAGGCCAGTATTCCAGAATATGGGCCATTCTGTAGGGCAAATGACTTAGTTTCTCCAGCAAATCAATTTCATGAAAGCAAAAGGGGGAGAAATTGTTAAAGAATACAAGAGACTTAAAGTAGTGGTGAGCAGGTAAATGTTCAACAACCAATTCTCTGAAAAAGAAAAAACTGATTTCTAGCATTTGCTGATTTCCTTGGTGTTAAATATTTCCACAGTGACTTTTAAGTTTAAGGTTTTTTTTAAAGTTTAAGTCACCAGTGTGACCTCACTGAATGCAGGTTTGGAGATGGTATACACAGTGGAACTTATATCATATTTCCACCATATGGATAGAATAAACAACCTCAAGAGCATAAATAATAGTAAAATGTAGTAAAATAATTAAGGACTGACTGATATTTTCAGTATTTATTACCTTGGTTGTTGATATAATTTAATTATAAGCTTATGTAATTTAATTTTTGTAAATGACTATGTTTAACAGTCAGCTTGCAAAATTCTTGAAAATGTAATAGTTGCCTCTTGTAAGCTTGATATGAGCCAGCTTTAATGCGCCATACATGTACTATGAGGACCTTGTTTGAATCCTGATTTGAACAAACCAAGTATAAAAAGCCATCATTTAGACTATATGGGAAATTTAAGTGTGGACTGTAACAAAGAGCTGAGAAAAAGAGGTAAGTCTAGAATGTCTTTTTAGTCTTGGTCTGTACATTGTATGGCAACAAATAGAAAAGACTGTGTACTCAATTTTTTAAGTTGCAGTTCCCCAATTATTTTCACCTAGGAGCAGTGCTGGGAAATAGGTAAGAGATCAATGGAAAGGCCAAAAAGGACTTTTTCTATAAGTAGAATGATATAACTCCATATTTTGAATGGTGACTTTATTATCTTAAAGTCACAAAAATATTATATCATAATTCATGTTTCCATCTGTAAGAAAGCTCCTAGAATTTGAGATTCCACTTAACTCCTAATCTCACCAATTTATCTACTATGTGATACTGGGCATTCTGATTCTGCATCCTGGAAATAGTATGTCAGACCCAGAACTAGGCTTTAGATTGCCTCATTCCATGACAATTATTCTATGATATCTTTCTCCTTCTAGATTAATTTGGAGTTTTTTGTTAAATAACTCTAATGATTTTTTTAAAGATTTATTTATTTTAGAGAGAGAGAGAGAGAGAGCCCTTGAGTGGGAGGGTCAGAGAGAGGGAGGGAGAGAATCTCAAGCAGACTCCGTGCTGAGTGCAGAACCCCGCTCAGGACTTGATCCCAGGAGCCCGAGATCATAACTTGAGCCGAAACCATGAGTCAGATGTTCAACCAACTGTGCCACCCAGGCGCCCCTAATGATTATTGTTTTAAATCTAAAACTCATAATTTAAGGGTAATAGAATATAAATAAGCAGATTCAGGCAGCTAATAGCTACAACATTTTTAATTGTCTGGACCTTACTAATTTGTTATTGAATTCCTAGAATCTGATAATTAGCTTTGAGTTTCTCTCTATATTTTAGTATTGCTTAATGATAAAAATAATATAGAGTTCTCAGAAATACACACACACACACACACACACATACATATATATTGATTGTTTATTGCTTCTCGCCATTCTGGAAGACTTGTTTATTGCAGTTTGTTAATTGGTGTTATGCTTGCATATATATTTTGGGATCAAATATTTATTCCCTACTTAATGTTGCAATAAGAGAGTTATCCATGTTATTACTCTGAGAACATTTTTAGTTTTTGCATAACAGCATATATATTTATCACATAATTTGTATCTCTTGTTAGAAATTTAGATTGTTCACAGTTTTTCACTGTGAAATTTATTATAGACTATTAGAACTGTGACAATATCTTCAACAAATTGTTTAAGTTTATACCATATGTCTATATTTATCTCATTTAAAGTTTGAATATGGTTTAGTGTTAAAAATTATTATGTTAATAAGTGTCCTATTGATTTGAGCTTTCAATTGCTTAATTTGTGACTAGAAACTATTTTTCAATCAGTTGCTTAGTTTGTGACTAGAAACTGTTTTTCTTTTCTCAGGGCATAAAACCAGCCAGTTTCAATAAAGTCACTGATCCTGAAGTGAAAGAAATCATTGAAGGATGTATTCGCCAAAACAAATCAGAAAGGTGGGTACAAATGTAGTGAAATGATATAACCGATGGATACATTAAACTCTTACCTTGGACTGGGTCATTTTCTGACCTTTGAATAATACTGGGTGTTATTTTTGAATGGAACACAAACCATTCTGTCTGGGTTGAAGTATATCAGTGCATGTTGTTTGCCATTTTGGACTTTGATATCATGTGCTGAATTTTTCTTGAACTGGAATTTGGGTTTTGTTTGTGTTGTGACAAGTTTTCATCACCTTCACCCTTCAGTTTAATAGTCACTGATAGTAGAGTGCTTCTGCATTGTCACCTTCAGGTAAGTACTTAGAGAAAAATGATAGCTTAAAAAAAATTGACCATCAACTCCTCAAGTGTTTCATATTTGACCAATGTCCTTGTGTCATGATAATGGTAAAACAGATAGGGCTATTTATATCTAAGAAGTAGTATTCTAAGTTTATTTATAACACAATTTGTGTTTTCCTTATGGATATATCCCTTTAGTTTTAGCTTTTATTTCCTGTTAATTTGAGCTTTGGACAGTTGCCGAGTTAAATCAGTAGGTTAGTCTTTTGATTTTTTACCTCCTTATTGATTATGATTAATAAAGGTGATAGGTCCTTTACAGAAATTATTTTCACCCACATTTTATTGACTGTCCCTCATTTTTATTAGTTTTCTAAGTTTAGTGTTGTATATCTGAGACTATATAAAAGCCACTGAGGTAAAGCCTGCTTCATTATAGCTTTATTACTGAACATTATTTTACCAACAGGCTATATCTAGGTAGTTATATATTTTAATTATGGTAAAATATACATAACCTGAGATTGACCATTTTAATCATATGTTAAGTGTACGATTCAGTAGCATTAGTACTTTGACATTGTTAAACAACCATCACCACTATTTCCAGAACCTTTTCATTACCACAACAGAAACTCTGTACCCATTCTCTCTCCATTCCCTCTTCCCCTCAACCTCTGGTAACCTTTATTCTACTTTCTGTCTCTGTGAATTTGCTTCCTCTGAGTACCTCATGTAAGTGGAATCAGTATAGTATTTGTCCTTTTGTGTCTGGTTTATCTCACTTAGCATAGGGTTTTCAAGGTTGATCTCCATGTTGTATCATAATTTCCTTCCTTTTTAAGGAAGAAACACGTATGCACACACAGCACATTTTGTATATCCATCCATTTGGATATTTGGGTTATTTTTATCTGTTGGCTATATGGTGAATAATGCTGCATGAACATTGGTGAATAAATATTTGCTTGAATCCCTGCTTTCAATTCTTTTCATTATATACCTAGGAATGGAATTACTGGATCATATGGTAATACTATGTTTAATTCCTTGAAGAACCGCAAATTTTTTTCCACAGTGGCTGCACCATTTTGTATTCCTTCTAGCAACATATGAAGGTTCCAATTTGTCAACATCCTCACCAACACTTGTTATTTTCCATTTTTTTGGTAATAGCCATCCCGATGGCTATGAAGTGGTATCTCATTGTGGTTTTGATTTGCATTTCCCTAATGTCTAATGATGTTGAGTATCTTTTCATGTGGTTATATCTTCTTTGGAGAAATGTCTGGTCAAGTCCTTTGCCCTTTTTAAAATTAGGTTGTTTATTTTTTGTTGTTGTTACTGTTTTTGAGTTTTAAGAGTTTAGACGTGCTTTTTTTTAAGTGAATCTAAAAATGCAGTTGTCTCTTGAATAACATATTGTACAATACTGTAAATGTATTTTCTCTTCCTTATGGTTTTCTTAATATTTTTTACTCTAGCTTACTTTCTTGTAAAAATACAGTATATAATACATAATGTAATATGGTATATAACACTTACAAAATATGTGTTAATCAACTGTATATGTTATTGGCAAAGCTTCTGGTCAACAGTAGACTATTAGTAGTTGAGTTTTTGGGAAGTTAGGAGTTATACACAGATTTTCAGCTGAGATTGGCACCCCAATCTCCCCTCCAAACAGTGTTCGAGGGTCAGTTGTACTATGTGGAAGTACCCATTTTAGTTTGGATTCTGATTATTGCTTTTGCAGCACTTTAATTGTGATCTATTACCAAAGAACATTGGAATATTCAAAAGGATTCATGATATATTAGTATATTAGAAAGAACACAGGCTTCTACATCAGACTAAGATTCAAATGTGGACTCACACTTAGCCAGTATGACCTTGAGCGAGTTACCTCTGTTCCTCAAAGCAGGTATTTATTTTGATGATTAAAAAGATATTGCATATAAAATAACTAACAGAGTAGTAAGTATTTAATGGTGTCTTCTGCTATTACTGTAGTTATTCCATAGTAAAAATATATAGGCTACATTTTCATTGAAAGGTAGAGGGCTTGACTTGGTTATATACTTGTTGTTCTTCTTCAGATTTTACCTATTTATTTGAGAGAGAGAAAGAGTGTGTGAGAGGAGAGGGGAGGGGTAGAGGGAAAGGGAGAAGCAGGCTCCCCGCTGAGCAGAGCACCAGACACAGGGCTGGATCTCAGGACCCCGAGACCATGACTTGAGCCAAAGGCAGACACTTAACTGATTAAGACACTCAGGTGACCCTTGGTTGTGTCTTCTTAAACACGTCTCACCTTAGCCTTAAAACTAGTCTGAGGAAGCTTATTCTTTTTATAACAGTCTCTTAATTATTTGTCCCTTGATCACTAAAAACATAATCAGGAGGGTTGAAAATCTTCAACTCACAGGATACCATGCTTCTCAATATACTCTATCTGCTTTAAATAGTCTAAGAGAGCTTTTCTATATAGACATTATGAAATACATGAGTTTTAGCTCTCTCTGGCCTATAATATAGATAGATTAGATATTATATGTATGTTTTTAGAAATTGGCCCAAGCAAAGGACATTAACTGCGCCCAGCTTGTAAAAGAATCTTTTGAACCACTGTCCTTTTTTTTTTTTCCCTCTTCAGAGATGGTTAATCTCTAATATTAGGTAGAGGGGTATCCATTGTATGTATACTTTGACCTAAAACACTAGGCTTAAATACTTGAAGAAAACCATGGGACTTTGCTGAACTAAATTAATTTCATTCATGGCATTCTCTAAAGAGTGAAGTTCACTGACTAAATTATTATTAATGGAGTCAATGACTTCTATTTATAACGTTTGTAAAAGAGTTTGTATTTCTGATTTCCTTTAGAGGTTATATATCCAGAAGAGTTTTTAGTTTCCTTTGCTGACAATCTGTTGTTTGAGTTTTATTTTTGTACATTTTTAAAGATTTTATTTATTTATTTGACAGACAGAGACCACAAGTAGGCAGAGAGGCAGGCAGAGAGAGAAAGGGAAGCAGGCTTCCCGGTGAGCAGAGAGCCCGATGCGGGGTTCCATCCCAGGAACCTGGGATCATGACCCGAGCTGAAGGCGGAGGCTTTAACCCACTGAGCCACCCGAGTGCCCCTGTTGTTTGAGTTTTAGTAACTTAAGTCAGTGGCTTAGGGAAACTAGTCACTCTACCTAACATACTGTAGCACTTCTCCAGTTCTCTAGGCATACTTACAGGTCTGTTAAAGTTCAGAATCTAGCTATGCTGTTGGAAACAATCTTTAAGGTGACTTTAAGTGCATGTTAGTTCGGATTTCTTTGCATCTTTGGTAAATAATAAGTTGGATATAAGATTTCATTTTTTTATAATGAGGTAGATTAATGGTCTAATTAATAGGAAATTTAAAATAAGATTGTTACTTTGATTTAATTGATGTTTGCTAATTAAGAGTTCTATATCTTGTTCACGATTGGAAATATTGATAATGAGATATGTATTTTGTTTGTTAGGTTGTCTGTCAGGGACCTACTAAACCACGCATTTTTTGCTGAGGATACAGGACTGAGGGTGGAATTAGCAGAGGAAGATGACTGCTCAAATTCATCCTTGGCCTTAAGACTCTGGGTTGAAGACCCTAAAAAATTGAAAGGCAAGCACAAAGACAATGAAGCTATTGAATTCAGTTTCAATTTAGAAACAGATACCTCTGAGGAAGTAGCGTATGAAATGGTAAGTGAATCTTACAGCTATTCTCCACTCCCCCCACCACTGTTGCCCTTTATAATATCAGGGTTAGTCGATTCCTTCCTCCTTATTGCTTTTTTTCCTCCCTATTTTCTCCTTTTCTTTATTTAAATTTTTTTATTGTGAAATGCATCTCTGTAGCAGAGATGTACAGTATGTATGTATGTACGGTATAAAGAATAATAAAACACTACTTTTGCTAAGAAATAGAACACACTCTCTGTCAAATAAATAAATAAAATCTTAAAAAAAAAAGAAATAGAACACAACCTGTACCTTAGAAGCCACCTGTATGCCTCTCCCAGTTGTATTCCCTTCCCTAGTCACCACAGGTAATATCTACCCTGACTTTTATGTTACTCATTTCTTTGCTTTTTGTTATAGTTTATCTAAGTAATACGCTGTTTTGTTTTAAAAACCTGAGTGGCAAGCACACATCTAGCTGGTTATTGAAGTTATTATTAGGTGAAGATGTTCAGGAGCACATAAACTGAATGGAGTCTCTCAGTCGTAGTCTGGCTTCAGCTTTGCTAAGTGTTTACAAGAGTCACTTCTGGGGAAGTCAGCAGGTGAGGTCATGAGTGAGTTCAGGAAAATACATGCATGGCTCACCAGTCAGGTCACCAGTGGACCATTGCGTGGACCTTTAAAATTAGTTGTCTTGTAACAATATGGTTTGATGGGGAGTGGGTCCCTCTGACCTCTCTACTTCTAATCACCCCATGATCCCCTCCTTATAGAGCAGATGACAGCAGATAACTTCTGTGGGTTTGAATGTGTGTCCACACCTCTCCCAGGCTGCTACAGTGCTTGGAGGGAAGGTGTGTAGGCACTTTTGCAGCACATAGTTAAATTAGCCAAGTACAGAGCATCTAAGCCAGGTTAGCCTGGGCATTCTGTCCTCAGGTTAAAAAGAAGGATGGAACATTGACATTGGGGATCTTGGAGATGATAGCCTTTAACCTATTTTTAAGTAATAGTGTTCTAATCTGGAATGATTGCCTTGGACATCTGGTGCACAGCTATTATCCTGATTTTTCTCTTTACTATCTTTCTAGACTTCTCTTCCTCTCTTCTATAGGGTTTCATGTTTCTTAAATCCCATGTCTTTCTCTTCCTTGGCTTACCCTCTTGTTATAGTGACATACTTCCTTTGCCTGCTTCTTAAAGAAAGGGTTTAAGAGGTAAATTCTTTAAGACTTGCATGCATGAAAATATTTTTATTCTATATTCATATTTAATTGATTCCTTGGCTGGCTAAGGCATTTTAGGTTGCAGTTTAAAAAAAATTTAGACTCACTGTTCCATGCTTTTCTAGCTTTCAGTATTGGTATTGAGAAGTATAAAGTTCTATTTTCTGAATCTTTTGCATGTGATTTGCTCTCTGGAAACTTGTAGTAGTTTCTGTTTCTTCTTTAGTATTCTAAAATTTCACAGTGATGTGTCTTGATTTGGGTTTATTTTCGTCTACTGTGTTGGATTCTCAGTGGACCCTTCCAATCTGTCAACTCATATCATTTAGTTTCTGGGGAATTTCTTGAAGTATTTTATTGATGATTTCTTCCCCATTGTTTTCTTTCTGGAACTGTTATCATTTGGATGTTGAACCTCTTGAACTAATTCTCTAGTGTTCTTAACCTTTCTGTTTTACATCTTTTTGTCTTCTTATTCTTCTTTCTGGAAGATGTTATTAACTTTACCTTCTAACCCTTCCACTGAATTTTTCATTTCTGCTATCATGTTTTTAATGTTAAGAGTTCCTTTTTATTTTTTTGATCTGTTACTCCTTTAGAGTAAACATCTTGTTCTTTGTTTTGTGGAGGCAATATTATCACACCTCTTTGTAACATAAGTAAAGAGAGTGTTTTTGACATTTTTTTCTTCCCATATAGTCTCTTTTCACCAAATTGTTGTTTCACTTTTCTTGGTTTTGTGTTTTGTGTTCTTGTTAGAGGCTTTTCTGATATTTCCGATTATTCTTGGCTAGTTGCTCATGATTAATAGATTATAGGAGACTATATTTGTTTTCTGTTGCAGTGTAATAAATTACCACAAATTTAGTGGCTTAAAGCAACACCCATTTATTATCTCAGTTCTAGAGGTCAAAAGTCCTAGTGGACTTCACTGGACTCTCTACTTAGGGTCTCACAGGCTGAAATCAAGGTGTCAGTGGCCTGGGCTCTTCTCTGGAGGCTTTTGGTGGGGAGTGTGAGGAGAGTGTGGGGGTCGGGGACTGCTTTTGAGTTGTTGGCAGAATTCAGTTCCTTATGGTTGTAAGACTGAGACCCCTGTTTCCTCGGTGACTATAAGCTGGTGGTCACTTTCTGCTCCTAGAGGCTGGTTTTCAGTCCTGTCCTGTACCCCACTCCATCTTCAAATTCAGCAATATCATGTTGAATCCTTCTAGAGTTACCAGCTGGTAAAAGACTCACCCAGATAATCTCCCTATTTTAAGGTCAACTCTTCACAGCAAAATAATGGGAGTGATATCTCATTTTATTCACAAGTTCGAGGATTAGGATGGGACATCTTTGAGGGGCCATAATTTTGCTGACCACAGGGTCTTACAGCCTATTGGGTGATGTGATTGCTTGTGTCAGACTTGTTAACTTTAACCCGTAAGGTAGGGTATCTGGATGGTCCTTTAATTAAGGAATCTTTGACATCAATATTTATAGGTGTGGGGTGCCTGGGTGGCTCAATCGGTTAAGCCTTTGGCTCAGGTCATGATCCCAGGGTCATGGGATCAAACCCCACATTGGCCTACCACTCAGCCAGTCTGCTTCTCCCTCTCCCTCTGTGATCTCTTGCTTTCACTCTCACTCAGATAAATAAGTAAAATCTTTATAAAAAATATTTGTAGGTCTGTCTTCTTAGATTGGTCAGATTTGCCAGAGAATCATCTTTCAATGTCCGTCCTGAAGGGTTAGGGTCTGGTTACTGGTACTTTGGAAGCCAAGTGAGGAAAAGGGCTAAGGGTTTCTGCATATGCCATTCAGCATGCATATGGTCATTTAATCTTGTTTTCTACGTAGTAGCCTTACCCTCAGTTGTGCCTAGTGTTCCATAATCCAGAGAGCCTCTCTTTTACCCTCTCCAGAGAACAAAACTCAAGGCTTCTTGGGTAGGGGAGAAGCAATCACCCGAAGGTATGGAATGGAGGGTGGGGCATAGTGATCTAAATATTTAACTGTTTTTCACAACCCTTTCACTTAGTCTTCCTTATTTTAGTCATCTCTTTTGACTTTATCCAGTTCTGGAAGTAACTGGTATTGCCAGTTCCTGTGCCTTAATGAGCATTTTTCAGTATAAGTCATAATGATTCTCAGCTTTCCCTAATTCACCTTTTTCAGGACTGCTAGGTCATTTATTACTTAATCTGTTTTCCACATTCTGGAATGTCCAAAATGTTGCTGCTATTGTCTTTCTCTTATTCTCCCTGTCCCTGTGGGTTTACAACTTAAAAATCCATTTAGTATGGGGTTGTTTTTTTTTTTTTTTTTTTGGAGCTTCGGGAGGGAGTGAATTAAATATATGGATTCCATCTAACATTTTAATCATCTTTCAACTACCACGAAATTTCCCTGAGTCTGCAGACCCCCAAGACATGCTTTAAAAAACAGATTGTAGGACTGAGAATGATATGCCATGACACCTCCTCAAGTCATCTTCTCTGCTACTCAGCCCTGCTCTTCTCAGACAGCAAGCCCTTAACTTCTCTTCTCTCACTCTTCTAACGCCTGGTAAGATGTAGTACTTTGCTGTGAGCATATGTCCCTTTGCCTAGAGTGTGGATCTCTAAACTTCGTCCACACCTCCCTTAACAGCCAGCAAGTACCTTTTTTTGTTTTAATTAAAATCAGAGTTAACCTTTCTCTGTGACACTTCCTCTACTTTTTCCTTTAGGGCTTTTGCAGCAGCTCATTTCTACCTTATTTTAAGTTAAATTTGTACCGTCTTACCATCAGATAGTGTGCTCATACAGGACAAAGGACTGATGTAGTAACTTATATGTCTCTGGAGTCCAGTACTGGGCACATTGTGGGCACTTAACGTTGTTGAATAAGGAAACCTTTTTAATCTTTCACAAACCTAATGACAATCACAAATGGTCTGTAATAAGACTGCATGTACAGAAACATCAAGTTATTTGTTTTCATTTAAAGTCAGAATTATTTTAACAATGCTTGGTAATGGTATTGTTTTTCTTATGCTGAATTTATGTATGTCTGATTAGGAAAGAACATAGATGTACATCCAAAATATTGAATCACCATGATGTACACTTGAAACTGTCAATTATATTGAATTGAAAAAAAAGAACATATAAACAAGTTAACTGTTATTTAATAACATTTAGAATTTGGGGGCACAAAATAACTGTGCTAGTAAAAAGTTAAAATCGTAAATGTTAAAGATGTAGTTTGCTTATTATGTTTTGTTTGTAGGTCAAGTCAGGATTCTTCCACGAAAGTGATTCCAAGGCTGTTGCTAAGTCCATTAGAGACCGGGTCACCCTGATAAAGAAGATGAGGGAGAAGAAGCCAGCTGGCTGTTTGGAAGAACGCAGGGATTCCCAGTGCAAGTCTGCAGGGAATGTACTCCCTCAGCCCCAGAATACAACTTTGCCCCCTGCTCCTGCTCAGCACACTGGGGCTGAATGTGAAGAAACTGAAGTTGATCAACATGTTCGACAACAGCTTCTACAGAGAAAACCCCAGCAGCATTGCTCCTCTGTTGCAGGTAACAGTTACAACTTATAAAAGCAAACAAATGTGTAATTGTATTCCCTTATGTCAAAATAGTACTTTTGTGTTTTTCAATGCATTTTCTTATCTATCATTTCATCAGTCCTTTTACAAAACCCCTGAAATAGACAAGCTGGCTAGTTTCCTTATTTTGAAATTAAGAAACGTGTGTTATGTGACCTGTCCATGGTGCTAATTGAATAAGGATTATAATCTTTTTACTTTTTTTAAAGGTCTGATGTAAATCCTTTAATAAAGAAAATTTGGAACTAAAGGGAGAATGTGTTGTTCAGGAATGAATTTTCTAGATTTTAAGATCCTTTGTATTTTAGACTCAAGTATAAAATTATCATAGTTCCTCTAATTTTTCTGCTACAATGCATTCTCTTCTCTAGAAGGACAGAGTATTTTCACAATAATAACTAATTGTTCTATAACGATAGTATTATTTTCTAGTCAGGTTCTAGGAGAATGAGAATATGACACTTAGATTTGACTGAAATCCTAGTGGCAAGTATAGATTAGTTGGGTGGGGGAGAAGCAATCACCCGAAGGTGTGGAGTAGAAGGTGGGACACAGGGATCTAAATATTTTGACTGCTTCTTACAACCCTTTCACTTAGCCTTCCTTTACTTTAGTCATCTCTTTTGAATTTACCAAGTTCTGGAAGTAACTGGTATTGCCAGTTCTTGTGCCTTAGGAGTATTTTTCAATATAAATGATAATGGCCAGCAAAAGGAGTTGATTTTTATGTGATTCTTTGTTTTTAGGTTTGCTTTACTAAGAAAATTTTAGTTCTACGACAGTGTCGGCATGGAGAGTTTACATAATGGTTTTTGGTTAACTGTGTATTGTAAATATTTTATTTCAAGTTGTCTCAGATTGTCAGAGTAAAAAAAAAACAGAGAAAACACTTGTTTTCTATGCCATTTGGACCTTGTGTTTCAGGTTTTTCCTTCTATCTGTTGCTTATTTTCTTTGTCATAGGTGACAATTTGTCTGAGGCAGGAGTTGGATCTGTTGTACACTCAGATACTTCAAGTCAGCCCAGTGTAGCCTATTCCTCAGACCAGATGATGGTTTCCAACATCCCACAGGCTGAAATTAATGTTCCAGGGATGATTTTTCCATCCCAGCAGCTAGTAGGACATTACCAGCAGATTTCAGGGGTGAGGTGAACTCATATATTTTTAAATATATAATCTATATATTTACTATAAATGGGAGAGTTTATCTTTAATGTATTTTTTTTTCTTATTTAACAGTTGCAACAGCAGCCAAAGCTGACTCAGCCCCACATTTTGCCTTTGGTTCAAGGTCAGTCCACTGTTTTGCCTGTGCATGTCCTTGGACCTCCGGTTGTCTCACAACCCCAGGTTTCCCCATTAACTGTCCAGAAAGTCTCACAGATAAAGGTAAGATATATTTTAGAAGCTCTGTATTGGGTTAAAAATTTTTCCGATAAAGCCTCTCTTTTGTAAATTCATTATAGTTTATATAAAACTCACTGAAAGCCAAAAGTTGTTTATGCTTTCCTTCACTTAAGATATTCTTGAGGATGTGCCTAACACTGTGAAACTAGAATCTTGAGACACTGCTTATATAACTGGAAAAGAAAGTGAGAACTCCACTGATAGATAAACAAATTTATTTAGGACTCAGATCTCTTGCTTTTGGTGATAATGGTTTGTTCTTTGTATTGGCTTTTCTAGCCTGATGTGCATGTGGAGGGATTTCTTTCCTTTTTTCCCCCAGATTTTATTTATTAGAGAGAGAATGTGTGCACATGAGTGAGGGGTGGTGGGCAGGGCAGAGGGAGAGGGAGAAGCAGACTTACCAGTGAGCAGGGATCCCAATGCAGAGCTCAATCCCAGGACCCTGAGATCATGACCTGAGCTGAAGGTAGACGCTTAACTGATGGAGCCACCGAGGTGCCCCTGGAGGGATTGCTTCCATAGTTAATTGGAAATAATATTTTATAGACTTATAATTTTTAGCACTTTCATCTAGATTTATGGAGGTTCCTCCAGATATTAAAAATAGAGCTACCCTACAACCCAGCAATTGCACTAGATATTTACCCCGAAGATACAGATGTAGTGAAAAGAAGGGGCACCTGCTCCCCAATGTTTATAGCAGCAGTGTCTGCAAACTTTGGAAGGAGCCAAGGTCCCCTTCAACAGATGAATGGATAAAGAAGATGTAGTCCATATATACAATGGAATATTACTCAGCCATCAGAAAGGGTGAATACCCAACTTAAGCTAAGTGGAGTAAGTCAAGCAGAAAAAGAGAATTATCATTTGGTTTCACTTATATGTGGAACATAGGAAATAGCATGGAGGACCATAGGGAAAGGGAGGGAAAACTGAAGGGGGAGAAATCAGAGAGGGAGACAAACCATGACAGACTATGGACTCTGGGAAACAAACGGGGTTGCTGGAGAGGAGGGAGATCAGGGGAGGGGGTAGCTGGGTAATGGGTATTGAGGGCACATGTTGTGATGAGCGCTGGGTGTTATATGCAACAAATGAATCATTGAACACTAGATCAAAAACTAGTGATGTACTATACAGTGGCTAACTGAACATAATAAAAAAATTACTAAATATTTTGGCTTTTTAAAAAAAATTCTTGGCTTTTTGAGAAATTTAAATTCCAGTTTAGTTAACATACAGTGTTGTATTAGTTTCAGGTATCGTGAAAGTGTAGTGATTCAACAATTCTATGCATTATTCAGTGCTCATTATGTTAAGTGTACTCTTAATCCCAATCAACTATTTCACCTACCCCCCCACCCCGCTTCTGTGTGTATATATACACATACACACACATTCTGTTTTTACACACACACACACACCACATTTTTTTAAAAGATTTTATTTATTTATTTGATGGAGAGAGATCACAAGGAGGCAGAGAGGCTGGCAGAGAGAGAGAGGGGGAAGCAGGCTCCCTGCTGAGCAGAGAGCCCGATGCGGGACTCAATCCCAGGACCCTGAGATCACGACCTGAGCCGAAGGCAGAGGCTTAACCCACTGAGCCACCCAGGCGCCCCCACACACCACATTTTATCCATTCATCTATCAGTGGACACTTTGGTTACTTCCATAATTTGGCTGTTGTAATTAGTGTTGCTATACACATCAGGGTGCATATATTTTTTTGAATTAGTGTTTTTGTATTCTTTGGGGGAAGTACCCAGTAATGGAAGTGGCTGCACCAGTTAGCATCCCCACCAGTGGATTCCCAAGAGGGTTCATTTTTCTCCATGTCCTCACCAATACTTGTTTCTTGTGATTTTGGTTTTAGCCATTCTAACAGATGTTAGGTGATATCTCATTGTAGTTTTGATTTGTATTTCCTGATGATCAGTGATTTTGAGCATCTTTTCATGTGTCTGTTGGCCATCTGTATGTCTTCTTTGCAGAAATGTCTGTTCATGTCTTCTGTGCAAATAATAAGATTATTTGTGAGTTTTGGTGTTAGATTATATAAATTATATATCTTGGATGCTGACTCTTTATTGGATCTTGGCTTTTTTTGTTTCATGTTCATTTCTATAGGAGAAATAAATGTTTCTGTCTTTTTGACTCTCAAAGTCAGCATTATTCATTTCTGACAAGGAGTAAACAGTTATGAGCGTTCATATATTAAGACTATATTGTGGTTCCCAGGGTTATGAGGTCTGGACACATGGTTCAGCTTTTCTTTGCCATCACTGCATTTTCTTTTCTCAGCCTCACCCTCCCCTGCATGTGCCTTATTTCTTTGGGAATGAGATGGTCTGAACATTCTCTGTATATGATTCAGTTAGCAGCTGGCACATCTGTTTCTTTTAAGAGATCGGTATATAATAAGTGACAGCTTATCAACAATTTTTAATGATTGCCATTTCTGTGGATATAAGATAAAATAAAATATGGTTCTTACCTTCAAGGGGTTCACAGTCTTACAGGGGGAGGCATACACGTAACTTGACAAATGTCAGATACATTTAAAATCTGCTGGGGTAATTTAACCTGATGGAGTTGACAGTAGCCTGATATTTGGCTATTGTTTGTAGGTAACATGGTACATATTCATAATTGAGCTCTTGTTGTGGTTTTATTTGTCTAAGATTTTAATAGAAAGTATATTGAATGGATGCTTAATTTAACTTAGGTTCAACCATATAAGTATGCAGATATGTATATTTTAAAATGTGTTTCCAATCTTTTTAAAGTTTTAAAAATTATTCTGAGTGTTATTTACCTATCTAAAAATAAAGCCTATGAAGTTATAAAATAGACCGTGAAAATCACCTGTTATTTCTCTAGCTAGAGACAACTTTTGTTTACATTTGTGGGTAGAGCCTCTAGGTTTGTCTTTTTTTCCCTATGTATACAAAATATGTAATTTTGTTTATATAGACATTTGTATATCACATACATGCTATTTTTTAAACTTTTTCACCACATATAGTAGCCATATAAGAAAGCACTTTGACCATTGATGTCTTTTTATGAATGTGGTAGTTCAAGTTCTAGAAATTATTGCAGCCAACCTCTATTTATTCAGCCAACTCTCTGCTCTCCTCTTTAGAGAGCTTCTGTGTTCATTTTAGCTATGATATTGAAATCCTTTTGAGCTTTTTCTTGGAACTTCGAGTGTCTGGTGTGTGATAATGTTAGATTCAGTTACTCTGAATCTCTGCCAGGGTTTGAATGAGTTATGTGGCAAGTGCAGTAAATGAGAAGCCATGAGTAGTGTATTACTGGGACTGGTCTCAATCCCTTAATGTATTCAACTAGCATTTACTCATGGTATTAAGGATTTCTGTAGTACTAAAACTATACCCAGCACCTTTTTGATAACTTGCTGAAATTTTTAAAACATAGCATTATTTTATCTGTCATTCTGTCTGGGACAGGCCCATTAAAATGGGCATGGTGTATGCATTTGTAATTTGAATTTTCCTTGTACCAGAGCCAGGAGCTTCAACTGACCTTTGGAGCAAATGAACAAACTTCAGCCTAATCTATGACTTTACACTTGTCAGTTATTAGAGTTCCACAACCAGTCTTTCTGCAGTTTCTCCTCAGACATTGCCTATTTCACAAATGATCTCCAAGCATGTAACTGTTGGTCTTCAACTTGAGCCTGGGCCTAGAAATGGAAAGCAGGCATTAGCCAAATCACCAGATGCTAATCAGACTTTTAGTTTCTTACTGGTTAATTGTCTTCAAGCTTTGTCAAGTCATTCTGCCCAGTATATGAGTAGTGCACAGAATGTTGCTGGTATAGCTCAGGTCCCTTCTGATTCCACTGAGGGGCCATTCCGGGGCCAATCATCCTTCACAAAAGATACATTCAGTACCCCACTCATATCCAGTAGTACATCAGGAATCTGTGGCTCTAGGTTCTTTAGCACCACAAAGCTAGACTGTGCATTTGAAGAAACCTTGTTTCCAAGCCTCTATGCAGCAGCAGCCATTAATGTTACAACCTGAGATTATGGCATCACTACAAAAAAATTTTCACCAGGATTATATTCTGCAAGTGTCTGAAGCTCATGCAAGTGAGCAGCAGCTGAAGGATGGCATTGAAAGTGTGATTCAGTCTCTGGAATAGCCATCTTATTCTGTTCAACACGCTTATCCAAGACTACCTGCAGAACTGCCATCCTTCTCACTGAAGGCTCCTGGGCAGCTGCCATTGTCGCCAGAAACAAGCTTCTTACCTATCACAACTAACCTACCCAATCCAGACTCTAGCACAGCCTGTTTATTCACTGCTAGCCCCAGAGTATCATCTTACACTGTGCAACCACCAGGATCATAGTCAACCCATTCTATGCTGACTTCTTATCCAGTCCCACCTGTGGGTACAGACCTCTTATTTGGCCCCAGGCCAAGGGCAGCCTGCTTTCCCAATACAAACTCAGGTTTCATTACCTTTTTCTAGACCAGACAGCATATAAGATCCAAGGAACTTACTCTGCAATTTATAGAACAGTTTGCTTACCAGGTACTGCCTATTGAACATGCCCATTATTCAGCACAAACTGTTTACACCATCCAGACAACTCAACAGGCAACCTTCATAACCCAGTAAGTATATGCAGTAAACCCTCCTGATAGCAAGCACATACGTATTAGAAACTCTGCAGATCAGAAATTACACTCGGTACTCCCTTATGTAGCACAGACTTCTGACCAACAAACCTATTTAACACAACACTAAGGTAGTAATTCTTCAAAGTTGGAGCAAAAGCCATTTTTAACATCACCCTTAGATATACAGACACATTCTATGGAGCCTTTGTTTAATGTCCAGCACTCAGAAGCTCCATCACAAGCAGATGTCCATTTTAGACACCAGCAACTAGAAGGCCAGTCAATTAGCATTACATCTCAGAGGGCACAGAAGGACA